GGTGGGGCTAGATTCGAACCGGCCACCTTAGGTGTATGTGGCTGGCCCTTAGCCTGACTTTTTTTTTCATGTCCACTGTTCTGCTACAAAGTTTTTCATCTGTGCTATATTGCACTGTTTGTATGTACTACTTCAGTTGATCAATATCCTCTATCTGATGGACATTTAAATGTTTTCCAGATTTTTTTGTTATACCCAGTAGTTTGATGTATGGCCTTGTAGCTAAGTCTTTAGGCCCATTCCTGACTATTTGTAGAATTGTTACTACCTTGGCTGGCCCCCTGAGGTCCACAAGGGAAGGAAGCTTTCACAACCGATTATTTGCAAGATCTGGATTGAGTTGTCAAATTTCCCACTCGGGGTGCCACCTTGAAGGAGGTATGCTGAGGAAGGAAGGCACTGTCCACTCTTTCTTCCCACTCAAGAACCACCTCATTCACCAGCAAGTGTCGCCAAGGTCCTCTTCCGGCCAGCAGGAGGTGCTAGTGGCCTGCAGTGCGCGGATAGAGCAAGGCCGGACCTGGCCTAGCTCATTTTGTAGCTGCAGTTGGGCCTCAGACCAAAGGCACGTATCCAGTAAGGAGCAGCATCAGAATTTGAACCCAAAAGCCATCTGACTCCCAAAGTCCTTGCTCTGGTCGAGGCGGCTGATGTCCTCCTGTGCACGGTTTCACTTGTCCATTTACTGTAATAAATGGGAGGGAAGACACCTGCTTCAACCCTGCTCCCGCATCCCCTTAACCAGCCAGGTGCCGTCTGGGAGGTCAATCAGGTCTGCAGATCTCAGGTTTCTTCGTGTGTGCAATAGGATAATAATGGTTCTTCTCTCCTGGGTGGACGTGAAATTGAAGCGGCATTGCTTGAGCAAAATGCCTGGCCCAGTGGGTGCATAGTAAATACTGATTTGGATGAGTGATTTACTCCGCCCCAGCAGGCCTCCCGGTCTCCGACCAGGCCCCGGCCCTTATGGCAGTGCAGGGGTGCAGACGCCCGGCGGTAGACCGGCGGGCGGCGTGGGCGGCTCAGCCGGCTCTCCGCGGCAATTAGCCCGCGCGGCTCGGGCTCCGCCAGCCTAATTACACGTCTCCTAATGAGGCCGGCGGCTGTTTGCAATCACCCGGGTCCCCGGCGCGCGGCGCGGGAGGCCGCGGGGGAATCCGCCCGCGGAGGCGTGGAGGGGCTGCAGCCTCCTCCTGGTCCCTGAGTCCGTGAGCCGCGGTGGGCGCGTGCCCAGACCGAGGGCGCCCGCGGAAGTGGCCGAGCGAAGCTCCCTGTCAGTCTTCTCGGCCGTGGAGATTTGTAATCCCTCACCTATCGAGAGG